ATGCACAGGCGTCAACCCAAAAATGGAAATGAAATCAATACTATTTACATGGTTCACATTGTATCTTGTGAAAGAAAGGCACAAGAAAATGACCTTGGACAGTATTTTAACATTATTTCGACCTAGATCACAGCAAAGTGGTATGAACTTTACATGTCAACATAATTAATGATACTAATTTAAGTGGAATGTCTTAAGGGGAATTTCAAAGTCTTCTTCAATATTCTCTCAAAATAGACCCTGTTAATATAAGTTATGTGAAAAGCTAGGAGATAAGAGTGTGTATAATAACATATATAAGAAAAGAGGCAAGTAGAGGCAATTTAAAGTTAACTTAAATAGGTGACAATCCATTGTAGATTAACTTCACAACAAATCCACTTCATCTTATCCAAGAAATATTGATAAAGAACCACGAAGACTTCAAAGGAGACAAAGAAGCTTGAAACTACTTCACCGTGCAAGAGAAAATATGAGCAACACTTGCACCAAATCCAAACAAATGATGGAATCTCTCAGCCTCCTTGGCAGTCGTAATCTGCAAAAGAAATCATCTAAAACATCAACAATGTTCAACAATAGTGATTTCCCCACCAAAGCTCAAGGGCAATGTTCATATAGACAGAGAGATCTGTTGACGATCATGTTATAACTTGCCAGCACCATAGCCAGAATGGTAAATAACAGGAATAAAACTTTTATACATTCTGTATGACCAAACTGCAACAGAAAAATAACAGACCAAGACATATAACAATCATGAAATGGTATTACCAATTTTTCAGACTTAGTGAGCACAACTGCACCATAAACAGAACCGTTAACAAAGTCATTCACTAGTAGAGCTATATTAGATAGAGCCGAAACAATATTTTAGAACTCCACCCTTTTGCTATACAAACAAATTTCCACCTCCTTTCCTTTTCGCACCCCTTCCAGTACTAGAAATCCGGAAAAAAAAACGACCACAAAAAGCGACCAGTGTTGGTCGCTTATTGGCCAAAAAGCGACCAAAAAGCGACCAAACGTGCCTGGTCGATATTAAGCTGGTCCCTTTACCTTAGGGACCAAAGTTGGTCGCTGATTAGCGACAACTTTGGTCTCTCTAGTCAAAGGACCTAAATATTCCGGTAAAGACACTGGCGACCAACTTTGGTCGCTATATTATTTTAATATTATAAATTTTGCAACCAAAGTTGGTCTCATTTGTGTAAATTTTGTTTTTTTTATTTGTTATTAATTATAAAGTAGCGACCAACTTTGGTCTGTATACGAAATATTATATTTTAAAATCTGGAAAATTGCGACCAAAGTTGGTCGCTATACTATAAATTTTTTAATTATTTTTTTTAAATAAGCGACCAAAGTTAGTTGCTAAATACATGAATTAATTTTTTTATTTATTAATAAGCGACCAACCTTGTTCGCCATATTTCAAGAAATTGTTAATTTTCTGGTAAATAGCGACCAATCTTGGTCGCTTTTTGGGAAATCTGGGTTAAATAGCGACCAACCTTGGTCGCTATTTCACAGAAAATTGTTTTTTTTTTTAATAGAAATGCGACCAAATAGCGACCAAAGTTGGTCGCTTTTCTTGGTATATTGCTGGCAGGAACTGCCTCTTTTGGCAGCTACACCACCTGCCAGCTTACCAAAATTCCTAAATAGGCAAATATGCCAACAACAGCAACAACAAACAACAACAACAACAACAATTATAACGAACAAAGTATAAAGTTCAATAGAACTTTATACTTTAAGCTAATTAGCAAACTAATAAGTTGAATGTTATTACAGAACCATTCGAAAACCAATTGTATTTGTCTAGCATAAACTAATAAGTTCAAAGATTGTTCTCTACATCATTATCATCACCGTCTGATGAACTTTCTTCACCATGACGGTATCTAGAATGGTCTATTTGTCGATGATGGGAAGAATGACCACGTGGAGGACGGGAGGAATGAGCACGGGGAAGGCGAGCCTCTGGCGATGACTCACGAGACCGGAGAATTGGAAAATTACCAGAAGCTAGGAGAGTTTTGATCTGCTCTTGCATGCCCTTGCACTGAGCTTGCATGCCAGAGTACTGCATATCTCTAAGCCTTTCTCTCTCCTTGGCGGCTTCTAGCTCGGATGTGAGCTTTGCCACAGTCTCCCACATAGAGGAGAGGCTCTCCCCATCAAGTTGTTCGGCTTGGGAGGAAGTCCCTATTCCTTACATTCCACACTTATAGCGATGGAATTTCTTATTAGGAAGCCTGTATACCTTCCCCCCCTTTTGGACCGCCAGAAGCCTGTGTCCATATTCTCTCAGCATCCTCGTCCGATAGTTGCATTGGCGCGCCGGACTCATTAGGTGGCTGACTGCGTATGAATTGCTCCACTTCAGCTGTGAAGCGACCCTATAAGAAAAATAATATATGAATTACTATTTCCAAACTTATATAAAAGTAAATCAAAATTCTTAATGAAAAGTGAAAACTTACATGTACAGTCGAGGCTCGGCCCTCGACCCACCTTTCTTGGTCTGTCTCTTTCTTCTTCTTCACAATATGAGTCTCCTTGAAGAGCTCATCTTGGTTCATCGGACGCCCCAACTTTTTTTCCTGAAAACTCATAAATTTTAGTTAATAAACAGAATACATATACTAAGAAAATTAAAATAAATTAAGCAATTACGTACCATTCTTCATTTTATCGTCCCTAGGCTGACCGCACCTCCAGTGTGCAAGGATCCTCCCTTCTCAGATGCTCGGGCTTTCTTTCCTTTTTCGCTCTTCTCTAAGAACTCTGCTGTAAGTCATTGCCTTTGCAAATCATCCCATAAATCCTGAAGCATCCAGCCAGGCTTCTGGTTCAACTGCCTAGCTTTGGAGAAACAATGGGACAACCGCTTTCGAGCTTTGAGATGGAAGTTTGCAGCCACTTCCGCGCTATAGCGTTGTTCCCATACACACTTGCTCTGTATTTCAAAAGTCAAGTATTATATGGAAATATCATATTTAGATGAAAATATCATAAAAGCTATATTCGATATATTATACTTAGCTTTTATTAGCTAATAATTATTCAAAAGTTAAGTGCATTAACTGCTTATAATATAATATTAGCTAAAAGCTAATAAATGATTATACTGCTTAAAAGAATATTTATACCTTAAACTGATTGAACATTGCCTCCTTGAGAGCGAATGGGAATTCACTCCAAGTCGCATAAGGACCATCATAAAGCTTTCTGGTGGCTTTGGTGATGATCCTTGTAGTAACATTACTAGGGATGAACCTGCAATTTTATTAAAAAAACACATTAATATCTTAGTAAAACTGTACTAAACAAAAAAAGTTAAAATAACAAATAACTCTTACCCGTCACCCTCAGGGACTATGATGATCCTGCCATATTCATCATAATGCACCTCCTCGCCATTAGCAGCATCATTGTCCGAAGCATGTACATCGGAGGCATGTGTGGA